CCTGCTGGGCTCCGGCAATCCTTCCACCTCAGCCTTCCAAGTAGCCAGAACTACAGGCATACGCTACCACGCCTGGCTAATTTTTGATTTACTGTAGAGGCAAGGTCTCATCAAGTTGCTCGGGCTGGTATCAAACCCATGGGTTCAGGCAATCCACTCACCTTGGCCTCCCAAAGAGCTGGGATTACTGGCTGAGCCACCAAGTCCAGACCCAGTAAACGTTTAGTGCTGCATCTCCCAAGCTATTAAACCAAAATATCCCCAATATAACAGCAGTAATGGTGCATGCTTAGAGCCTGCTTTCTCAACCTCAGCACTATTGACTTTTTTTTTTTTTTGAGTTGGAGTCTCACTCTGTCACCCAGACTGGAGTGCAGTGGCCACTCCCGGCCACCGCCGCCTCGACCTGCTGAGCTCCGGCGATCCTTCCACCTCAGCCTTCCGAGAAGCCAGAATTACAGGCGTGCGCTACCACGCCCAGCTAATTTTTTGATTTATTGTAGAGATGAGGTCTCGCCTGCCCTGCGGGTCTCGAACCCGCGGGCTCAGGCAGTCCACTCACCTCAGCCTCCCAAAGGCACGGGATTACAGGCTGAGCCACCAAGCCCGGCTGCACTATTGACTTTTTAAGCAGGATAGCTGCTGTGGGAGGTTGCCTGTGCAGTATAGAATGTTAAGCATCATCTCTGGTCTCAGTCATTAGATATCTTCTTGTGACAATCAAAAATGTCTCCAGTCAGTGCCAAATGCCCCTGGGGAGCAATATCAAACCTAACTGAAAACCACCAATGCAGAAAAACAATTTCTTTTATGTGGTGGCCCAGTCCCAAAATATAATTTTTTTTCTGAATTAGCCTTCGCTCTGTAACATTGACCAGAAACCCACTAATTAGAGAATCATATGGCTAGAAAACATCATATTTAAAAATTAAAAGGTCATAGGACCATGATGAGTAGCACAAAAGCATGTGTGAAGTTAAAGGATCAGATTCCTTCTATTCTAAGATCAGCTACACTGAGACATCTTTTTTAATTTTTAATTTTAAAGATGTGGGGTACAATTCAGAGTTAGATATACAAATGTTCATTATGCAGGTGCCCTTATTGATGAGGTGTGGGCCACCCACTACCCTGCAGCTTCCCACTATTGCCAATCCTACCCCCTTCTCCCCATCTCCGGCAATTTTCCACTACTGCCAATCCCTCCCTCCCTCCCTCCCTTCCTTTCTTTTTTTGAGTTGGAGTCTCCCTCCGTCACCCAGGCTGGAGTACAG